GCCGAGAGGCTATTTATGGTGGATACCATGGTGGACTTTATGGGGGTCACCTCGGATATCCTCATGGAGTGGCAATCGCTGGACCCGCCTTAGGACCAACCAGTGTTGCTGGACCTCACCTTGGAGCGACCATGGTGGCTGCTCCATCTATAGGACCAGCCAAACTCTCTGGATCCGTTGCTGGGCCGGTTCAAGTTTCTGGTGCTGTTGCTGGATCCGCTGTTGTTACTGCTTCTGTCGCCGGACCTGCTCACGTGGAGGGTTACAGCGGCCCCTATGACGGTGGAGTCGGTGAGTGCTCAAACTCAAACTCAAACTCAAACTCAAACTCAAACTCAAACTCAAACTCAAACTCAAACTCAAACTCAAACTCAAACTCAAACTCAAACTCAAACTCAAACTCAAACTCAAACTCAAACTCAAACTCAAACTCAAACTCAAACTCAAACTCAAACTCAAACTCAAACTCAAACTCAAACTCAAACTCAAACTCAAACTCAAACTCAAACTCAAACTCAAACTCAAACTCAAACTCAAACTCAAACTCAAACTCAAACTCAAACTCAAACTCAAACTCAAACTCAAACTCAAACTCAAACTCAAACTCAAACTCAAACTCAAACTCAAACTCAAACTCAAACTCAAACTCAAACTCAAACTCAAACTCAAACTCAAACTCAAACTCAAACTCAAACTCAAACTCAAACTCAAACTCAAACTCAAACTCAAACTCAAACTCAAACTCAAACTCAAACTCAAACTCAAACTCAAACTCAAACTCAAACTCAAACTCAAACTCAAACTCAAACTCAAACTCAAACTCAAACTCAAACTCAAACTCAAACTCAAACTCAAACTCAAACTCAAACTCAAACTCAAACTCAAACTCAAACTCAAACTCAAACTCAAACTCAAACTCAAACTCAAACTCAAACTCAAACTCAAACTCAAACTCAAACTCAAACTCAAACTCAAACTCAAACTCAAACTCAAACTCAAACTCAAACTCAAACTCAAACTCAAACTCGAACTCGAACTCAAATTTGTCTGAAATACAACATGGTAAATATTTACCTATCGCATATAAAAAGATCCGACTTCGCTCTAGGTTTGGGATACACCGGTCCAGCCTATAGTTATACCGGGTATCCGGGATATGCCGGATACTCTGGATACGCGGGAGCCGGTAGTCACGGAGTGGTAATAGCAGGACCAGCATCGCATGGAGCCGTTCTCGCAGGACCAGCGTCCCATGGCGCTGTCCTTTCTGGTCCTCAATCCGGAAGCGCCGCTGTATCCGGCCCTAATGCTGGTTCCGTGGTAATCGCTGGTCCCTCTGGCAAAATTACTACCCACGGAACTGGCTTTGGTGGGATCCACACTGGGCACGGTCATTGGTAACGAATGAGAGCTGTTGGCAGAACAAAAATTTTAAAAATTTCTCGATCGTATCCACTTCTATGAATTATCAGCGGAGTTAAACTACAATACGATATCTGATTGTTATATCGTTAGATTTGTCTCACGACGATCCCCGTTAGCGATACATTTGATACTATGATTTTATAACGATAATGCAATACGAATAAGAACTTTTTATACAGTTGATATACCCTTACTTTTTTTTAAGTAGATAATAAATAGTTTGTAACATAGATATTCGTAGATCGCTCGCTATTTATCGCGTAACTTTAACTGATCTCTTACGGTAATACACGATTTAGTTACACACGTTTAATCATGTTGTTAACTATGTACTCGAAATTCTCGCACGCGATGCTTTAATGGAGTTATATCGTTACAAGTCGTCAACCTTTACGTCGCTTTAAATTCGTTATGCGTCCCATTTTAACGAGCTGTAAAATAATTATGCGTCGATTCCATGCACGCTCTAGTTTTGTCTTTGCAAAAAGGAACCTCCGCGTGTATTTATTCCACGTTCCAAATTTGCTGCTCTCAGTGTCAGTATCTAACCCGTCCATTTTTTATTACTCTTTTATTGCCAAGAAGAATAAAATGTACGGCTTCTCTACATAAACAAGCTGGCACTCGTATGAAATTCTTCGATCGTGCTACCGCGCAACGAATCGAAACGGATCACAAAAGCGTTTCACGCGATCCACTATCGATCTTTATCATTCTGGTGTGTAGTTCTGGAAGTTTTGTTAGTTCATCGTAACCATTCGTGGAATCCGACTACAAGGGGCCACTATCAGAGGGTAGACAAAACCGAAGCCAAGTTGAACCGTTGACACGGATATCGACACGTTGGAATAACATATCGATAGTTGTGGTAAAGGTTAATATCGTTAGATGTATGATTCGCGATACGGTTCGACGATCTTCGAACAAACGCGACGATTGCCTCGACTTTGCGACATCGTTTAAAAAATAATCGACCTGTGTGTAGATCGATCACAGTGAACACAGGTGTGCTGGTACCGCGGTCTAGAGCGAATAAAGCCAGATTAACGAACCACGCGCGCATAATTCACCGAAGGTCGTACACGAGTTCTGCGTTATCTCCTAAGTCGTTCTTTCAAGCGCTGACTCTATCGCGGAATCTGTACACGACAATTACCGCGTGCTTTTTTAAGGTCGACTTGATCCTCGTCACAGATCGTAGCCACGGCGATATTTTCCGCCTGCAAGCCGTTTCATTCGGTTTTTACGATTGAACAATTGCCATTTAAGTGGCTTATTTCGAGCTACCGATTCTCCATAATACGAGTTCAAACCACTTGATCATATTACACCGATAATCGGGTAAAATTTCAGCGAAATACACGATAAATCCATTGTGAATTAAAGTACCTAATAAGTTCGCGCGCACTTGATAATTTAATGTATTAAAAGCACAAGTGCTTCAATTCGCATGAGTAACATCCAAATTTTTAAACGTCTACTACAAGATTGAAACAATACGGTTACATTAAAAACTGAATGTAAAGCAGAGCTGACAGGCGAGAGAATTTATCACGAGATTCATGCACAATCGTGAGAACTATCTCCACTTAATAGCGTAAACCTACATCTTCTGCTTCTACGGAAAGATTTATTTTCAGAGACAACCATTTCGCGATAGCTACGAGACTTAGCTAATACCGAGGTAAGAAATCGAAGAACGAGAGTTCCGTCTTCGTGAGAAAATCGTGGCAGCGCCGTGATGCATCGATCGATCGTTTCGCCACCGACCACAGTGCATCGAACCTGCACGAATTCTAAAAGGTTACTAGATTCCGTTCGACCGATCATTCTGCGGAGGCAACACGACAACGAAAAAATTTACGATATTCAATCAGATCGTTGTAATTAAATGAATAAAGCTTTCCATTAAGTACGTTTAAAAATCAATAGCCTACGCGATTCTTCGAGAAATATAGATCATCAATCGTAGTTTTGTGATCACTGAAAAGGAAGATTAAATGCATCGTACTCTCGTTATTTTTCTCTGCTTTTCTTTATTTCTTCTGTTTGTGAATGGCGTGTGTGCAGTATCATTCATAATTATTCCGACAATATAATTATACCTCACTTCTATTGTGGAGCGTAAGCAGTCCTTTCTATTGTTAAATCACAAGACTTTTTACTAAAACGATGAATAATTGTTTCAATTACTGGTTAGAAATAATCGAACAATGTTTTAAATTTAAATTACTCGATATTGGAACAATTATAAAAGAGGTATCAAAAATACGTTTCTACCCTCCTATAATTTTTATTTCGTTATTACAATGAGTTTTCACAAAATACAAATCGTGAATTGATGCTTTCACTGGGAGAAATTTTTTCACGTTTTAAGCGGGATCATTTCACAGGACGTCGATTTAAATTACGCGAAGCGTAGGTTATTTATTGCGATTTTGCTGTGCTCAGAATGGTAGCGCGGAATTAAAGGAAATAAATGATGCGCCCTAATTTAGACTTCGATATGCACAATGAGTTGTTATTCGTTATTCCTATACTTTATCCCGAAGTCGTAAAATGGAAAATGAGGTAAAACGAAATAAGTAAATATGGTTGAAGACATTGTACGTTTTACGATTTTAGTGGTTGATTGTATAAGTCACATACCTATTAATTACCTGCTTAGAAAATGAAGTTGAAAAGGACAGAAAAAATGGAATTAATCAGTTTGATTCCTGGCAGTCTCGATTACAGCCAGTATCGACATATCAGATACCGAATATTATCGCCAAAAAATTCTAAATTGCACGCTAACAATATGAAAAATGAAACAAATGCAGATTTAGTTTTGCTCATAAGTATACGTTTATTTTTAAACAGTTTCAGTAAAAAGATATATAATACAACAGTGAACCACAAGATCCTCGATTGTTTTTACATTTCATACGACGAAGATTAGCACCCCACGCTATATACACAATGTACAAGTTACAAAGACAAAGAAATCTACTAGAGGAAGCATCGACACGTAACTCCACCCTCCCCATCCGCCCGTGAGACATCCTGGCCTGTATTTCATCAACGAACGCGGCAAATTGCGGTAAATCAGTTAAGCTGTCTCGAACAGGAATTATAAGTTGGACAGATGGTTGACTACCGTGGACATTCCAGCGGATCGACCTCGCTCTGGCATAAAGCAAGAAGGTCGAATTGTTTTCGCGAAGCCCAGCGTCGTTACGGACAAGAACGACGAAAGGTGTGGCCGATAACGAGGTAGATATGGTTGTGGCTGGGTCGTTAGTGTCTCGTAAGTTGCCGGAGATCGAGGAAGGCCGATCGATGGATCCTTCGACGCGCTGCTGCTTTTACGCCCTCGATGGTGTACTGAATGTCCTAAGAATACAAAAATCGTGCAGAGGCAATAGAGAACCAGAAGATTCGTTACGTTCAAAAGATGATTTTCGTATGGATGACACGTCCACATCGAAGGGATATGGATCGAACGTGATCGTAGATCCGTGGATATTTAAACATCGACCCGAGACACGATCTCGTGGAGGGTCTTTCGCCAGTTGGAAAAATAACTCGTTATTTTTCAACAGGACGAGCGGGATATATATATGTGTGGTACGTAACGGCGTGTTCCGGGGTCAGAAAATCGGTCTAGAAACGGGAAAATAAATCTTACGCGTACGTTCTGTGTTCTCCTTGGCTTGATCGTTATTCACATCGCGATTCGCTTCGCCCGTGTACCACCCGCGGAAATTGAGAAACGTGTTTGTTTCGTTCGCGTCGTAGTCTAATTTCTCCATCCCAAAAAAGGAAAATACGAACATATCCTCGATATCTCCGGCAACTTGACTCGAAACAAAACAACATAAATATGGAAGTTTCTTACCTGAAAGTTGATGGCCACCGTGTGGCGCCATCCATGGCGTCGTGGTTTCGTGGTGCACGCTCATAACGGCCACTGTAGAAACCAATACCAATTTTGTAGACTGAGAAACCCGAAGATGATGATGTTGATGAAATTTTAATCGAAGAATCCATCGATGCCGCCTGTGGTGTTTCTCGACCCTTCTATCCCCTAGTTAGGTCGATGATCGTGAAATGTCCTCTCGTAGATGACGGAGGCCACCGAGATTCCGAGCAGCGACTTTCCATCAGCCATCACGGAGGAACATTGCCGTACATGTTGATGCTAAGTGAGCTTTTATAGGCGACACACGCGAACACGTGGGTCGGTGAACTTATCGGGGGTAAAGGCGGGGCTGGTAGCAGCGGTCTGTTAGACCGTGACGGGGTGAAAAAGCTCGGCCGATCGGACAAAAACCTGTAAATAAGGTGACGCAATATTGAATCGAATTGGAGACACCACGCCTAGAAATGAAAGAAAAATGATCTATGCGTTGGATTTGCGTAAGGAATGCATCGAAATAACGACCTACATACCATCTCTTTGTGCAAGATTCCTTTGTGCGAATCTATTTATTAAAATGTAGACTTCCGTTCGTATTTTCGAGATTTGATGTTGAGAATTTTTGTATTACCCTTTCATATCAATTTCTAATTTTTTTCATTTTCTAAATCTTCTATAATTAAGAAATCAGACAAGATAAGAAAATAATATCGTGGACATTGATAAACGTTATCGAAGCAACGAACAACGAGACCATGCGGATCGTGTTTCTAAACTGATAATCCTCCTCTATTCCCATTTCGTGCTTTGTAATGGTAAACCAGTTACACGCAACAGACGATGCGCATTACAATTACCCTGGACAAAAACACCTACACATTGTAATCTTACCATGACATATACGTCAGTGTTCCATTATCTTTCACCAGCTCTATTCGCGATTCTAAAAGTGGCACACAACTTCGTGTTAAAATCGCTCTGGAAGATAAATCAAATACTCTGTCATTCTTGATCCGACGTTCCTTTATGCACCTGTCGCGACAAGAAATCTATTCCTGTTCTCGATTTTCTTCGTGAACGATTGGCCATCGCGTGATCTTCGATATCTGATCCTAACTGCGACCTTCTGTTTCAATCTTAACTGGGTCGTTTAAATCAAACGCTCATAACCATTCAACCCTTTTGATTTCTTTAGGTAACAGTGCATTCTAGTAATTAGAAGTATAATTTATAATATGAAGGAGCAAATATAATTTAATTAGATATAGATCTTTACAGTGTACGATATAACTGGAAATTATATCCACAGGGATTATCCAATATTACAAATATGTTGTTGGAGAAGTAGAAATATTATGGACGGCCACGAGTCGATGCTGAAATAAATCAACGAGTAAAAATAATGGGAACGTATTGAATAAATATTGAAACTACGGATGCATTCAAAAAGATATACGAATTGATAAAGGTGGTTTCCTCTTATGAATTTTCAAATATCTACGATATTTAGTATATACGATACTTTATTCTCAACCAGCAATATATAAAAGTAATAAAAAATGATCAAGCGAGAGATTAGGAAGCCACTTTCCAAATGGAAGTCGTTTCAAACTCCAAGAGGAGAGAAATTTCCGGAATATTTTTTCGACCGAGAAAGGAAAAAGCGAGTTGCTTTTTAAACCCTGCGTGATCGTTCTAAGAAAAAGTAGACTTCGCGATCTTCTCTTGTTCTCTGAAACGAGGCGTACCATTAAAGCCGCCCCTCGAAGGACTTCGCCGTGGCGGGGCACAATTATTCGAACAATCGCGTCGCCGGTCACCTTTGCCACCTTCGAAAGCGCGCGCTACGCCCAACAATGATATTCGAAACGATCCGTGGCGCGAGGCTCGGTGATGCATTGCGAGGCTGGTGCCACCGTAACACACGCGTATCCGACTACAATGAGACAGTCATTCCAGGCGACAATCGCAACTTGGGGACGACGCGTGGGCTACGCAACCCAGTGCCTCGCCTAAACGGATGTACAATGCACAATGCGGACGCATAGTGACACGGCTGTCGACGCGTGCTCGTTCAGATCTGTCTCTTTGTTTAGAAAATCGACAAGAAAAAGATGAAACGACTCTTCTTCGATCGTGAAGGTCGTGATGACAGGTTTCTTCGACCATGAAATTGCAGGATCTTTCACAGGAAAGGATGATCTCGTCAATGGAACATGCTACCTATACTACGACTTTAATACGGACGAATATGTCCGATACGAAAGACATCGATCTTTAATTTGAATCGAGTTTACAGTTAACGTTGATCGATCGATAGAGTCTGCACGTGGTATTAAAGGAATTAAATTGGAAATCTTAAATCTTGTTCGATTCTAAGTACGTAGACACTTTAGTTAGGCTTTTTTGCAATGTAATTTAATTTCTCCAGAAATTCAATGCAACATTTTTAACCATGAAAAGCCCCGGACCGTGACTACCTAGACCCACGTTGAAGCCATTAAACACTCAAACTTTGTGGTATCGGCGTGCCGATCTTTCTGGTCGATAGAGTACCGTGTTCTATACGCAAGGCCAGAAACAATCGTAAAAACCGTCGCTGAAACGGATGCAACGGGCATGTTGAATTGGAGCGGGCGACCTCCAGGGCCTCGGGTGGGCTGCGAGGCGTTAAGCATTAGCCGTGTGTCGCTGCTACTCGATGACTGTCTTAATGCTGATAAGCCGAGGAAACGGCCACGCGCCCAGCCCGCAGAGAATGTTTGGCGTGTCCTGTGCCCCGCCCTTGGGGTTGGCGGGAGCAACTAGGTGCCCAGAGTGTACACAATGCCCCTATAAAAGCACCATCGAGTCAGTCAGATGCCAGCACATCCACTCCAGCCATCGAGGCAAACTATTCCAGTAGCTTAGCAACGAGCAAGCCCTTCGACAAACCTTTCAACATGTGCACCCTCGTAGCGGTCTTCCTCGTCGCTGTTCTTTCGGTAGCGGCTGCGGCTCCTTCGGCGATTTTGGCACCTGGAGCAGCTCTGGCTGGTCCTCTGCTAGGCCCTGCTGCCCTCAGTGGACCGATCGTGGGACCTGCTGCCCTTGCAGGACCAGCTACCGGACCTGCTCGCCTCTCAGGAGCTGTGGATGGTGGCGCCGTAGTGACTGGAGCAGTTGCTGGTCCCTCTCTAGTTTCCGGTAGCATTGCTGGTGCAGCCGCACCCTGGCCAGCTGTAGCCGCTCCTTGGGGTGCACCATGGGGTGAGTAGAGTAGATTCGTAAATTCCACGAACTGACACTCGCCGGTATATTTATCCATAATATAGGCCTTGTAGATAGATTACGTTGATAAGAGGATGTCTTAGAATGGTACCCGAAGATAAGCGTACAACGACGTTTGAATCGATGTGCTTTTTTTCGTAATGTTGATTGGATATTGTTGTTGCAAACCAGTCGCGTTCCATATATCCTTGTCAGGAAACTAAGGTACTTAATCTTTGAACGTGCAACGATCCATATATTATGAATACGATACACACAATGGACGATAAATTCAACCATGCGTAGTAGACCGATCTTTACTCATCCAGCAACGTTTATTTGTTTCGAATTGTCACGTTTTATCGCGTCTCTATCGCGATGTCTTCCTTATTCGAACGCTGTCGTCTCTTTCTGGAATATGTGTATGTATGTTCGTACTAATTTTATATTATCCTTTTTCAGGAACCGTCTTGGCTGGACCTGCAGCACATCCTGCAGCCCTTGCCGGTCCCATCACCGCTCCGGCACTTATTGCAGGACCATCCGGTAGCATAGCAGCTGGACCAGCTGGAGTTGGAAGCATCCTTCGTGCTGATGGCCACTGGTAATTTTTAGCTCACGCTGGACACCCATACACATAATGACATCTTCGACTGATCTCCTCCGATGCCTGCCATTTTGAAACCGACCGCGCCACGATCTCCGTCATTTACCGCTAGTACCTCCATTATTGTATCTTTTATATATATTTCGTGTACATAACAATGTATCGTTTATATGTTTATTTTATATAATAATAAACGCATACCACTTTGGAGAGGAAGTGCACTTCTCGTTTCTGTCATTATGTCCCTTTATTGCCTTGGCTGTAACGTTTGCAAACATACTTTGTTTCGATTACACACAGCGTAATGTTAATTGAATTATTCAACGAGAATAATCAGAATAATTATTTAACTGGGGGATTTAAATGAGAAGTAAATGGGGAATAGATGTCCCGTGTTCGGCAACAGGCAACCATTGTTTCGTAAATTTCAATTGTTCCAGGTAAATAAGTTCGTTTAACATGTCCTCCAGTCCGGCCGAAACAAAAGACCAAATGTTGTAATGAGGACAATGGCGTTCCTCGAAGTTTCAAGTGCGGAAATGTTACAGTGTAATTGCGACTGGTACACGAGACTAACGCGAAACTTTTAGTATTGTCTTTGTTTAGCAAACAATTAGCAAGCGTAATGTGTAAGCTGACGGAGAAAGAAAAATATTTAGAGAAACAATTCTGTACGCCACAACAGTGACTTACAATATACTAAAAGCCCGAGACAATCAACTGCCACGAATCTACCACAGCAGGAATTTCATCGAAGTCTTTGTCGAATATCTCTAATTCCTTAAGAATTTCACACTCGAAGAGTCAAAGCAAAGGCACCTATTGCGTTAGTGATTGTGACATGCAATCCACGATTTATAATGACACCGGTCGGCGGAGCATTGTTCTAGTCCCGGAATATTATCGTCGACATTGTGACGTGGCCAGGCTCCATTTCGCGGTCTATTATATCGTTGACAGTGTGTCGTGGGATGATACCTGTCCACCTTTGCCGGTAATTATAGGAAATTGCTTGAACGCCACTCCAATCAGCCGAGTATTCTCCCCATTTGAACTGTACTCTAATGATATCCGAACATAGCTTTGGTAACGAACCTCTCTCTCTCTCTACATTTATAGGGTAATTGCAATATGGAACACCTGATTTTAAAAACTTTTCAAAACGAGAAACATGTTTCTTCTCAATAAAACCAACTTCAAAACGCGATAAAATTAATAGATATTTGTTTGTTAATAGTTAACTATGCAAAAGTTTAAGTGTGTTGAACTCATGGTAAAAACTGAAAAAAAAAGATCAAGTACGGCGAGTTGACAAAATGGCTGTTAATATTTGTAAAGAAATGTAATAAATTGTAAAAATAATTATTCAAATAAAGAAGACAAGTAATAAAATATATCCCATTTTTTAAGCTTATTTTACATTATGCTCTATTATATTGTATTATATTGTTAATTTTCTTTGTCTTTCACACGTGAAACGCCTGAAGCATATCCCGGAGTGTAATTCCAATGAAAACAGCGAATACATCGGATCCATATTTCACCATTATTGTCTCTTTGGGAATTGCAACCACAAAATAAATATAATTCTGTATCATATTCGTCTATAGCAGCATTATTGGCATGTTCTATATGACGTACACTAAACGTGTTTAACATTGGGTACATAAGTATATATTAGGACAGAAAAATAATAATCACATTAAAAATGAAATAAATTTAACGGTAAATTTCTTTCGGACACTCAAAGCCAAATACGCTTAATGAGAAATCATAGAAAGATGATATATTTTTATTTTCTTCAACTAAAAAATATTACCATTTAACTCGCTTCTCGAGAACATTTATACGTTTTCAAATACAACGATCGACGGATTACCAAGCGAATCTCAAATGTGAATACGCTTGTCTTTTGCTTCCAACGAAATATTTTACACCATTGCCAATTGATTTTGTATTATAATTACTTGCCGAGATATTGCAGTGTTCCATATTGAGTACAATTACCATCCTACTTCATGGCTCTGCTTTAATCTCTGTTTTCATTCGCGCCAGCCTCTGGGAAATGCCACGACGAAGATGCTTTACGGCGTCTTTTTTACGAAACTCTGCCGGCTTCTAGTTCCTGTGGGAAGCTGAAGGAAATTATTAGCGCCATGCGCATTACCATTTCAAAGGCACGTCCACGAGCGAACAGCAACAAGTACCGGGCCAGTCGTTACGTCCCACGGTTTATGCATGAACAAAACGACAGTCGTTTAACACAGACGTGGATTCCATACGGCGGACATGAAATTCAAGTAGTCGAATAGCGAAGAGCACCTCGATGACTTTCAACGCTTGCGTAAGCAAACGTTTACTTGCTTCCACCGTGAGGTCTGTGATTTCGTGTGATCCGTCAAGATGCCGGGATTATTTGAGGTTTTCGAGCTTTGAAGTTTAAGCGTTGAAACAGGATGTTGGTAAATATTTTGGAGGATGTGAATTGTAGCCACGATTGTATAGGGAGAGCTTGAAATGTTTGCGAGTACTGTTCTTCTTTTAAGGAACACTTACAGTGGCTGCTAAATGAATATTGGAAAGATCTAACTCAGAATCGAGAAGAGATACAATGCCAAAGTTGATTTAAAGAAAGTGCAGAATTGTTCAAGCAATGTAAAAGTCTAGAGAAGGATACGCTTCAACAAGAACAGCGTTTAAAGAAATTTACTTCTGTCAAAATAAAGTAGACGTCTAAAACAATAACAAAAAGCACGCAGTGGTTTCAAACGTTTAACTACTAATTCATTTAAGATTCGATAGATGCAATCTTCGGTTAGCATTTAGATAAAAATTTGTCTCAATCCCACGGTGTCGTCAACCACCAAAAAGACACGAAAAGACATTATCCAAATTCTCGAACAGCACTGGACTCTACGTCACGATGAATTCGCGAGACGAACGGGCACACCCCAGAAGCGAATTACCGTGACAAAGCGGCGTTTCCGACTACGAAATCAGAACGATGCGCAACAAGTTCGAGTACTTACGTCAAGTAGTCTAAGTGGGATGAATTCCGACAAAACCAGAACAGCATAAAGATAACGAGGTAACGCCGATTCTCGTGAATTCCTCAAACTTATGGCGCTCGAGTTCCGTTCCCGATATTACGGGATGGGTGCAATTAATCCGCGTCGCACGATGGGACTGCCTGGAAGTGTCTCTTCGACGCGGAGTTTAATAGCTTACACAGACACGCGACGAAGACATTCTTCCATACAGAAATAGGTCGGGCCGGCAATGGTAATGGTGTGACATTTCCTAATGGAAAAATGTCGGGAAAGCTATAGATTCAGGGTCAGAACCGAGTATAAAAGCAGCTATCGCGGGATTAATTGGCAGTCTTACAATTAAGGTGATAGACAACGCTGAAGAATAAAGCAGCAACCATGAAATATTTGGTAAGCTTCTCGATTCTATTTTATTTGCATCAATAGTAACTTCACGGTATCGACATATGTTGATTACTTCTTAAAATAATTGTTTAATCATATTTCTATTAGGCTGTTCTGGTATCAATCGTGTCGGTTTGCTCAGCTGCACCGAGTCTTGTCAGCCCACTCGTGGGTGCTGTAAGCGTAGCTGGTGCCCATGTAGGATCAGCGGTCGTTGCTGGTCCCGCAGCTGGAGCAGTTAAAGTAGCTGGACCAGTTGCTGGACCTGCAGTAGTCACTGGAGCCGTAGCCGGCCCGAGTGCCGTTGTTGGTTCGGTTGCTGGACCTACTGTCGTTTCTGAACCGGGACTGGGCGTTGTCGTTGGTAAGTGATCATCTTCTTAAATCAAGTTTATTTCCTTTATATCACGGGAGATTTCGATAGTAATTGTAATAAATAAATTAATTTTCAGGTAATGCGCTCGTTGCCCCTGCACTCGCTGCACCTGCAGTGGTAGCGGCAGC